ATAATACTGCTGGAGTTCAGAAAAAGAGAGAAAGCCTTTGAGCTCCATACTGTTTCAGAAATAATCCTTGATAATCCATGATATGGGGTTTCATCACCGCAATATTTGCCGGGAGAATCTCCCACATAAGCTCAGCCCCCTCCTTTTTTTTTATAATTTTTTTTTTTAACCTTTATACCCCAAATCAACACTTTTGAAACAGGAAGTGAAATAGAGGGATATGAGGCATGGCTAGAATGGGTAATCTGACACATTTATACATATACACACATTAAGATAAAAACACAACCATCAATATAAACAAAATAACAGTCACTTCAATATCATTTTATGTGTAATTACTTATTTTTTCTTCATTCAGATTACTTACATTTCCTACACCTTGATTATGCTAGTGGTGTTTTATAAAAACTCTTTACTCTGGGAAAGCAAGCAGGCTGAAGATGCACACATCCATGTGAGTGCAGTCTGCGGGAGTGTGACCCCCCCATGAGGGCACACAGAGGTGGAAACCACTCTTCCATTATCCTGCTTGGAACAAAGGACAGTTTATACTTTCATAGAATGTAATTCATTGCTGGCAATAAAAAGATGTAAGGGCACAACATTCTGTGAAGTGGTAAAATCTGAAATGGCTGTAGGAGTAAACTGCAATCACTATTTTTATGAGAGCAGAAGATTATTCTAAACTATGATGTGCACAGTCAGCCTTGAAAATGACTTTGAGAAAATATGAACATTCTCTGTCATTGCTGCTTTGATATTCTGCCGAGGCATAGTGATGCTTTTGAATATGTGCTAATGATTTTTGCCCTCATGGCCATTACCCGCGGTGATCAGTGTGATTTTTACAGTTTGGATAGTTTCAGAGGCTTTTAGAGCGTTCTTTGAGAGCACTTTACAACCTTGTCAGAGAAAGCGTTGTGCTAATGCAGCTGTGTGATGAGAGTCGACGCCGTCCAACTGAAAGCATTCGCACAGCAAATACACAGTTGCTAGAGTTGTTGAATCTTTCATAAAATGAAGATTAAACCCTTCAAGTGAGAAAAAAAGCAGTGCCTGAAGAAACAAGTATCTGGCCATCTTATTACACAACTAAGAGCAAGATGTATTCTGAGTTTGACAGCCGCCTTGGTGTTATTTTTGAATACAAGGTGAAACTCCACACTTCTATTCGTGTTGGTGAGGAACCATGTAAATAAGTCATTTTGAAAGGTAACTGTAACATGCCCCATACCCAACGCTCAGAACCACTGATTAAGGTCATTTAATGGGATGATGTAATTTGAAGCAGGTTAGAGCCAATGTTCTTTGTTCTAAGGTTCAGTTATTAGCAGCGGCCAGGTTTCAACCTTTAGCTCTTTGCCTAAAGGGGCCTATTATGCTTTATGGGTTTTTCCCTCTCCTTTGGTATGTTCTATCGTTTTTGGTGCATGTAAATGGTCTGCAGGGTAAAAAATCCCAAAGTTCCATCCAGAGGGAGTTTAAAAAAAAAAATAAAAAAAATAAAGACCTTTTTGAACATTAAAGGTGGGGTAGGTCATTTTGGAGAAACCAGCTTGAGTGCGCTAGAATTTGAAAATACACAGCTGGAAGAAATCTGCCACTTCCTTACAGAGCCCCTCCTCCAACACACACGAACGCGCACATGACCAATGAGGGCACGAGATAAGTTTGTGCACAGATGGAAGGCTGACAGGCAGGTAGGCCATCCAGTTATTTTAGCCGGGCCGGCTCAGATGATTGGTCGTGCTTTTTACAGTAATACAGCTTCCACAGATGACATTTTTTTATGGATTTTTTGTCAAAGCACTTCAGATATTCATTGCTATCGGGATGTTAAGAGCATTCCATGGAATACAACAAAAAATGTATCTCGAGCCGGTTTCTCAAACTTACCTACCCCACTTTTAAAGTCACAGTAGAGGCACAAAATACAATGATGAAACCTGAAAATGAGCATTATAGGGCCCCTTTAAAGTAAACCCCTATCTCTGATCCCCTTTACTTTCTATCCTGAATGTGTGAATGAAGGCCAAATTGCTCCCCGAAAAAAAAGTGAATGAACCCCACAATGTTAGGGTAACTGGGCAGTTATTGCTAATACAGCCCTAGCTTATCGTGATTAAACCTTGTCACCTGCCTGAGTCGTGAACAAATACCATGGAGAGAAAGCATCTGGGATTTGGTGATTTACTAAATAAAGAGTATATGCTGATGTTCTGTATGTTTCTTCAGGTGGTGTCCTTGCTGCTGTGTCAGGGGGCCGACCCCAACGCTCGAGACAACTGGAACTACACGCCACTCCACGAAGCTTCCATCAAGGGCAAGATAGACGTCTGTATAGGTAAGCACGAGACTCACACTGCAAATATTGTGGGATAAAGGAACAAAAGTGAGTGTTAACTGGTTTGCTAGGGGTGATTACGTAGCTATGTCGATGATAAATTGTCTAGTGAAAAACATTTCAAGAGCCAGTTAGACTGTATTAGCTGTGAGCCGAGCAGAAACAGAACACATTCAGCAGTGTTGCCACAACGGTTCCCACAGTTGCATTGTTCCTTTGGGCGCAATACAATTCAGTGGTTGTTCTGGGACTTTGCTAAATATGTTCCATTATTTGCGGTGGAATTGCTGTGGTGAGTTTATAGATATTAAATGTTTGTGTGTACCCTCTGTTTTATATCCCTCCTCCTCTGCTCCTCCAAAGTCACAACCTGGTGTTCTGTATAATCACACAGTCATTTTATAATAAATCACCTGAGTGTATGTTATTAATATTTTCCATTTAACATAAAGCAGCAATTACGCGGCGAACTGCAATTATTGTGTTTTCCTATATTTTAGCCTACACATGGATTTCTTTGTCTTACAATATATGAGCTCCCACCAACATATTTTTTTCATTTTAAAAGTGAAACAACACCACAGGCTCAGTTCAGAATGGACATTAGCAGCAGCAGCTATCTTTAAAAGGTGAATTGGACATTTGAAAGGCTTTATTACTGATCCCTGAGGAAAATTCCGAAGTAGTCGAGATACGCTCTTGCTTGCAAAAACCGTCTAGGCAGTCAGTTGTAAGATAATCTCTTTCTGATCTTAATGGAAAAGCATTGCTCAGTGCTGGTAGTAATGACTGCGATGATAGTCGGCGTCACATCGCTGCCGGCTTCAGTCTGGAGGAAAGGAGGAAACGTTCCTCTAGTCATTTTTATGTCCACGATAAGCTGCAGCAGTGTGTCTGGGCCCTGAATGACTGCATGGCGGCAGAGGGCTGTGTGGACAAACAACATCCTATTCTCATGGATGGCTCACACCAATAAATGGGAATTCCACTGAAATCGAGCAAACATGATCCTTTTTGTTTGGCTTGACAGTAAAGCTATTAATTAAAGCCACGTTAGAAAAAAGGATACATATCTATGAAGAACAGAAACACCACCATATATAGAAAAGACATCAGAATGATAGCACGCAATGTTGTGATTCAGGACGCCTGATTGAACGGCTGTGTGCAAAACTGTATCTCTCAGTTGGTTTGCTTTTATCTCTGTAACAGATTTTTGAAACCTCTCAGTGGGCCCGGACTGATTCCCACGAAAACGTTTGTCCTTAGTTTTGCACATTCACCAATTCTCCCATTCGTTGGCCCAATCTCAATGTCCCCCCCTAAGGCCCTAAACCGTGAACCCTCTGGGACATAAATGACGTCAATCGGTAAAGAGTGCAAGAGGCGACAAGGGCTCCAGATGGTATTAAGTGAAATGGGACAGCACTGTGAGGGGACATTTCACATTACCTTGATGACACTTATAGTGGGTTTGGGACTTTTAGATTGTTCAACTGCCTGCCTTTGAAAGTCTTCCAGGTTCTTTCTTTGCGAGGTGATGAGAGGTTATTGCAGATAACTGCTTTGGTTGAGCTAAAAATTGTTAAATAATAATCTAGCTGTGTATAATCTCTTAACCTTCCATTCTGATTTCATATTTTTTACGTATCATTGATTTTTGTTGCCCCTCCTGACACAACGCTATGACTTATGGGTAATACCTTAAGACAAAGTCTGCAGAGCTGCCGAATTACAGAAAGCCTGCAATAAGGGCTCAGAAAGTCAGCACGACGGCCCTAAAGCACTTGACGAATTGACAGCAGGGACAGCCGTTAGTGTGGAAATTGGGATTGGGCCCGGGAAACGAAAGGGATTGGAGCATACTGATTAATTGCTGCCATTAATTATGCAAACAGACTAGAAAATTAAAAGCTGCAAATCCTCCAGTGTTGCTCCAATATCTTATTTTCTCTGAGAAGTTCTCTGTCCTTGTGCTGAGAGGAACCTAAACCAGCTTTGTGCTGCTAGAAGAGGCAAAGGGAACCCTGCTTTACTTTGAATCGTCTTTTTTAGCTACAAACTAAACTCAGTAATGGTTGTTTGGATCTCTTGTGTGTACAGATAGCTTCTCTGCACAGGGGGTAAACCCTCGTTTGGATTTAGAATGTTAATGTCTAAACTAAAGTCTAAATTAATTTGATATGGAAATTATATGACATTTGTTTGTATATTTAATGCTTTTTTTTTGTCATTTTGGCAATGCCATATCAAGATTGTGTTTTAATAGCACTTCTCTAATGACATGTCGTTTGGAGCTGTATGAATACTTTCAATGTGTTGTGTGCCCTCTAATGACAACGCTAAAGTTTATCCTGATTTCTTTAAGCATTTGAAGTGTTAAGCCCTTCTTCTTGCTACTTTCATGATAAATCCTTCCCACAAACAGGCAGGCTGTATAGCAATTTTATAGGTGTTGAATGTATCCTTAACCCCGTCCACACAGCAGCTTTAAAAAATCTTCCAACGCTTCCAACGCTTCTCTGCCCATTGACTTTGAATGGGGGTGATGTCACTTTGCCTAGCTTTTCGCCGAACTGCATTGTGGGGAAGCAAAGCGAAGATTTTCAGGATTCAAAAGTTGAGCAATGTTCAACTTTTGAAGCTGAGCTGGAAGCGTCAGCCAATCAAATCCCGTTTATGCAAATCTGACAGTACAAGCGCTAGCCAATCAAACCGCGTGCAAGCTGGGAGAGACATACCGCAGTTCATTTCCTCATATTCCAAACGAGAAATTACGGTAGCAAATCACCCGGTTCTTTACGACCAGAACTATTTACCGGGATACAAACCGGAGGACCAGGCATGGAGAGAGGTGGCAGAGACAGTGGGTGAAACTGGTAGGTTTTCGCCTGTTTGGGGATTTTATATCCAGTTTACTTCGTTTTAACATTGCTATTGCTTTGTATGTCGGGGCGGGAGATTCATGTGATTGGTTGTTGGTCGCGTTGCTCGCAAAAAATCCCCAAGCTTTCAGACACGTCCAGCTCCAAGATTTTCAAGATTTTTTCAAAGCTGCTGTGTGGACGGCCCGTTATGATCGAAACTCACAAACGTGCAGTTTCTTATGTAAGATTGGCCGTCATCAGGCCAAAAAGGAGCAAGTTACTACATCACTTTTGTGATTTTAAGAAAGTTTGGTGGATCTAGTAAGGGGACTAAGGATAAAAAGTACCACAATGCCCTTGGATTATACTCATCCTCTTGAAATTACATTCAGCAGGCTTCAGAGACAGCAGGTCATGCCGAGGATGTTGACTACTTATCCAAACACTCCACGAACTGTGTCACTGTTTGGTTGCATGATACAACAATGTTATGGTGCCATTCTGGAGCTCAGGACATCTCCAACTGTCGTCATGCACTGCTCCTGTAAACCCAGCAGTAAGCATGACCAAGCGCTGTCATGTCGGAGCGCTGCCTCCCTCTGAGTTACACAGCCAAACACATTTTGTGAAACAAAACGATGATAAATCGCAACCAGTTCAAAAAGTAAATATTTTCAGGTTACATCACCAATTTGGGAAAGCTGGCACCTTCACTACTCCCTTTCTGAAGAAACGCATTTAGCTTCCCTCTGGCATGAACTGAAAAATACTTCTATCATTTTTCTCAAGTCTTGGATGCGAGAGTTTTTCAGTGCAGCAGCAGGAGGGCATCTTTTCTGCATTACCATACAACCGTAAATAAAGACTTAATATCCTCCTTGGGTTATTTTGCTGTGGGGCACACAGTTTATTTTATGTCGTACTATAAAATAAAAAAACAAGTTAAACCATTTAGATGGGCTTTCAAAATCACACACATTTAGTTTTTTTTTGTCCAAACACTATTTAAGATTCAATTTTTCTTGTTTAATGTTAATCGGAAAAGGAAAAACCTACTTTTCATGTTTAGTATGGTGTCCCTTGACTGCACAGTTACAGGCATACCGATGCATGTAAACAAAAAGCACATGACCTCTAGCGGCTTGTTTATTGGACAGAGTTTTTGAAGCCTGTCATCCTGCCAGGTTAGAGATTTGGCAGCAGAACAAGAGTCTGATTCGACTGTAACTTCAGCTCAGCATGAAGGATGCTCTGTCCTCTTCTTTGGTGCTCAGACAACTTGAGTAGGAAATTAATCTCTCATTACCTCATCCCTTCAAAATCTCATCAACAAACTTGGGATAAGAAGATCTTGGAAATCCGAAAGCAGCCGCCTGATTGGCTGGAGAGGGGAGTTTAAGAACCCACCGCCTCCGTGAAAATCAGTTTAGTAGTCCGTTTAACTGTGTCCTCAATTCCAACGCCTCAGCTCCATTTGACTGGTTGTTGTTGTGATCGTAGACAACTGAATTTCAAACCCTTTTTCTGAATGACATTTATTTTGAATTCATAAATGTATTTGCTTCAATAGATTTTAATTTGAGATGGCTTGTCCATGGGTTTCAAATTAACTTAGACATCTGTTGTGTGGCAGGTTAAGACAGTTGCCTTTATGAGTTCAATAAGATACCAACAATTTATTTTAATGATTGCCCTTATTTGTTGGATTAAATATTATCTGTGAAATGTGCAATTTATCATTCTCCAGTCTAAGGTCTTCATTGTATTTTTCCCTTTCAAAATGTATTCAAAAAGTATTAGTTGACTTCTCCAAATGCTAAGGAATTGTGGTTCAATGCGTCCTTTTTTTTAAACTCCTTAAGCAAAGGGTACACTGGACCCAACAGCAACATTCAGTTTCAACCTTGGTAATAGAGTAACTTTTTTTGAAGCACATGTTTTTTTAACTCTGCATGACACAAGATATAGGACCTAAGATACGCTTCTAGTAGCCATTTTTAGGAACATTGGAGGTTCAACACCATCGTATCATGATCAGTATCACTACTACAACGTTTTCAATGGAGAAAAAGGAAAACATGTTGGGAAAGAATAAGCTTTCAAATAGTTTAGACTGTCGGGATCGTGGAGGGATGGAGGGATAAACTCAGACGAGGGGAATGAGGTGATTAGGCAGGAGAAGCATCAGGGTGCTGATTGGCTGGAGAAAAACACTGGGAGCAGGGAAGACTAACGAGGCTGATTCTGAACAGGTGTGTAGAAGGGCAAAGTAGGGACAGGCAGCTCAGGACCACAGGAGTCAGACTGACAGTTTTACAACTGACAACCCAAAGTGTAATGGGTTCTATCTTTGCCAATGCTACATCCTTCCACCAATTATCACAAATCCGGCAAAACAAAACGTCCATGGCGAGGTAATGAATGTACTACCCCAATGCCGAAAGCAGTCGTTGCTTTTACCTGGATAAATAACAAAAAGAAATGTGTCGGAGATCAAAATCATTGTCCATTATTTATAGCCTTATCATATTATGTGATATTAGGTGTAGACGCCTGTCAGTTGTAGACGTTTCATGGATTCATTTAGTAGGGTTGCATTTCTGCTCTGTTTTACTTTTCTAACCGTTACAGCTCAGAAAAAAATTATTTCCTTTTCTTTGTTATGGAAGTGGAGGTTTGACATTTGCCCACGTACTTGCCTGCAGCGTTTAGCTTAAATGCTTGCTTGTGTAAAACTGGCAAAAGGCACTAAACACATCCAACCTCAGATTAAACAGGCTGAGAAAAGGTGTCTCTCTTGCTGTATGAGGATGTCATACTTGTTAGTTACTAAGCATTTGGTCATTTTCAGACAGTCATGAGATAACTGTTGCAAATCTGACATTGTCCTGAAAACTAATCCTGTCCAAAAAGGGGATTTAGGTTGTTCAGAGAGGGCTTGTGCAGGTATTACTGACAAGCTGTGCCCATTAGGGACCAAACTGAAGGCTGACGATTAGAGGTTGACAGCTGAAAATGAATCAGCTTCAGACTGGATTTATGAACTATTCTAACCCGTATATATGTGTGTCAGACTGTCATTTCTCTAAATGCCTCACTGTGTGTGTGTGTGTGTGTGTGTGTGTGTGTGTGTGTGTGTGTGTGTGTGTGTGTGTGTGTGTGTGTGTGTGTGTGTGTGTGTGTGATACAGCACTAAAACATATTTTTTTGGTGAGCGAGTGGGTGACTAAGGTCTGCGTCAGTGCTGGGGCAGAGGCACACACATGAGCGTGCACATACTTACACACACATGAGCATGCACGTGCACATACTTACACACACATGAGCGTGCACACACGCACACGCCCTGCTTATCCTCCTCTTCTCTGCTGGGTAGTGTGAGGTACACAAATCAAAGGGCATGTGCACTGGGAACTGCTCAGCAATCACAGTAGTGGGGCATTACAGAGAGAGATGCAGTGAGTGTTGACATTAGCGCCCTCAAAAGAGCTAATTTACAAAAAACCTGAGCGAGGCAGAGTTTGTTATTCAGCTCATACCTGTTCAGCGCTCGCATGACTCTGCCCTCTCCTCTTCTGCGTTTTTCTCTACTCTTCTTTCTTTTCATCCTCTCCACCCATTTCCCTTATCTCCTCTCTATTTCTATCTTCTTCTTTTTTCCTATCCTCTCCTCTCTTTGTCTCTTCTCTTCTCCTGTCATCTCCTTGTTCCTTCCTTTCCTCTCTCCTTCTTTAATCTCTCCTCTCATCTCTTCTTTCGTCACCTCTTAGCATTTCTTATTTTCTCTTCTCCTCTGTTTTCACTATTCACTGCCCTTTCTCTCCTCTCTATCACACTCTTGTTTTGTTTTGCTCTCCCTCCCGTCTTTTCGTCCTCTAACTCTTCCATCCTCCCTGACTCTCTTTCCCCCTCCCCTTCCCTCTCCTCTCTCATCTTGCTCTCCGCTGCATCGCTCAGTCAGTCGGGGAGACGAGAGTCTCTCCACTCGCACTGCCTGCCCTCCTCAGCTCTGCTTCTTCTTCTTCTTCTTCCTCGATCAGCCGTAGCCCCTCGCCTCTCCCTCTGTTTTCCTTTTCTCAGCTGAACTGTATAGCCTTCCCCCGCCTCTCCGTGGAGGTGTGATGTGTTTTGTAGCTGGTCACGTAGCAGCTTTTTGTACGGTCCGCTGTTTATCCGGCGCTGCTGTAGCGTAGCTTCCGCTGCTCTTGTTGTGGCATGTCTGTTTACATCAGCAGCATGGCTCGCAGGGCAGGGGCGGCCAGGGGCAGCCCGGAGAGCGGCGCTAGCAACAGAGGTGGAGCAGCCGGGGGAGGAGGAGGAGGAGGAGGAGAAACATGTGAAGCAGGACATGCAGAGGAGCAAGTGGGAGAAAAGGGAGGAGGTCCAGGAAGAGCAGTTTATGGAAGAGCTTCAGGAGGAGGAGGAGGACTAGGAGGAGTTGTGTGTCGGGGAGTTTGCATGTCAGTCCAGGAGCTCAGCTACTGTCTGTGTCTGCCCTGTTGTTGTACAGTGTTGCTGCAGCATGGAGCCGACCCCAACATCCGCAACACCGACGGCAAGTCCGCCCTGGACCTGGCTGAACCCTCCGCCAAGGCCGTGCTCACAGGTCAGTGTCCGTCTGTATCCGTCAAACTGTATGCTTTTGTATTGTTGCAGATGTTTGTTTATATTCAGCGTCTCTCCTTCTGTCATTTTCCTTGAGAGATTCTCCCACTTCCATCTAAATGCTTTTCCCCCACAGCTTTAAATCCACGTTCATTTAATTTTGTCCAAGGTTGTGTATTTTCTATTCCCGCCACCCTCTTATTTTACAAGGCTGTGTCACTCGTGTACTCAAAATGAAGTGTTATTCAATCTTCGTGTCCAAAGCCGTGCGCACATTGGTCGATACGCTGCGTTTTTCTCCGTTCTGCTCAGTGGCTTTGAAAAGGCCATTCATTAATGTCTTAGTCTGTGTGTTTATCCAGAGCTGTAATCAGGGGTCAGGGGTGTTTGTGGCTCGGCTTTTCTTTTATCTTCCCTTTTCTTCTGGCTGAGGCTGCACTCATTGATCAGCTACTCGATGAACGGACTTAATTCAATTCAAAGAGGCTTTATTGCCATGGCCGTATCAAATCACAGTATTGCCAAAGCACATTTTATAAAAAGTATTAGCTCTGCATTATGTGGTCATTCACTGCTTACTCAGAGTGTTGCACATCAAAGCATCTGCTGCAAATAATGTGTTCAATTTCTCTAGACTTTTGCACCTTTTTCTGCGTTTTTTCCCCCATTCCTTTTCCTATTATGTCTTTTCTTTCCATTATTTCTTATTGTTTACCTTTCATTCGTACTTTGCTGTCATGCCTCAATGAGTGATAACCAGAGCAATGACACAGCAGGCCTTGACTAATCAACATTGAATCAGCACAATTCTGCAAACATTGACTAAATGAATATGCAATTGAACGCAGTCGACAGTATTTAAATACCCGACACCTCCAACCTCCAACCTCATCTATTACATACTACTGTGGCCTCATGGGAAGCCTTCTTCACCATCGTCGCCATCATTGTCCCAGTTGGTTTTTACATATCATATTTAGTAACTAAAAGCTAATAGGTGACATTAAAAACGTACCAATTTGTCGCGTTTCCCTCCGAAAAATGTCTGCAGCTTCCTCCAATAAAACTGCAGAAAAAGGCTTTACACCCTTCCAGGCAAAAAAATAAAAGTCCAAAAACTCATTGGAGAGCTTTAGTGGCCAACACGGGACACTAAAACGCTGCAGTGAAACTCTGCAAGACTAATTACGGCTTCTTTTATTGTTACAAACCCTCGAAGGCAGCCGGACTCATTACACCTATTCAGTGTTAGAGGAACCACTGGGACATAGTTACTGCTTTTAAATGAGGAACTAATTAAAAATATATGTCTTTTTAAATAGATAATGTTTTAGTATATTTGTTTTCATTCTTCCTTAGCTGAAAGACAGACAGAGACACACTTTTTGAAAGATTGTGAAGGCGGATTAAGTTTTTATTTCCCCCGCAAATCAGCCCTTTGCATATTCTCTTTTAGTGACCTTTTTCATGCTATATTGAATGGATTATGTTTTGGTTGAATAGCTTTGAATCACTGTTTTTATATCAGATGGAAAGGTTGAAAGATATTGTTGTTTAACCAGATTATTCCTGTTTTCGTCTGCACTAAAGGATGAGTAAAGATAATTTTAGATTTGACTGTGTTCCCGTCTTTATGAGGGCATTGACTGACTCTAAATCAGTTTTCTCACAAGCTCTTCCTCTATTTACACTGGGTGGAATCACCAATACACATCAATTCCTTCAGACACACAACAATAACATGAGTAATTCCCCGCAGTTGCCCAGGGTAAAATCATTGTCCCTGCCACCTAGACTTGAAATGAGGTTGCTCGGTGCCTGATATATTTTGCGTTAGCCTCATTTCGGCAGCTACCATAATATACGTTTTGCAATGAAACTGTCATGGAGTTGGAATGTATGTGCAGTAAACCTACCATTTAGCAGAGGAGTAATTGAACATAGTCAATGTGTGATAGAAAATGTTTGCCAAACATTGCAGAACTAAAATGTGTGTGTGTGTGTGTGTGTGTGTGTGTGTGTGTGTGTGTGTGTGTGTGTGTGTGTGTGTGTGTGTGTGTGTGTGTGTGTGTGTGTGTGTGTGTGGTATGCAATGACTAACGGTGGCCAATGGTGTAAACAACTGATAGACTGACCCCATCTCAAACACAGTCCTGCTGTACACAGTGCAGTTTTGTTGTGTTTGTTAATTGATACCACAGATGGCACACAATTGAGCATTTGAATACAAGGCTGAAAAAAATATGTGAGCAGAATCTGTTAATCAAAAGAGAAACTGAGAATTGTTTCAGCGTCATATCCACTGTTGGGAGTTTTTGGACCAGAGGGTTTTTAAACTTTGAGGGGCAATTTCACAGGGGGACGCTGGAGATTTGAAGTCGGGGTGAAGAGGGAGAGTAATAACTCCCGATCAAATGCGAACACGGGGACATATTGCACATACTTTCCTATTTGATTTGACCTAAAGTGGCTGAGGAAATCATTATCTCTAATGTCTGAATGTCCATCCATAGATAAATGTCCAAAAATCTGCCTCAAAATGGAAAAATATGTTTCTTATAACTCCAAAATGCATTAGAATTCATATTTTGTAAGTAATCTGGTCATAATTGTCTGTAGACCCTGGTCAAAACCCCTGTCTTATCTCTGGCAATATTACAGACAGGAGTATCATTTGAACTAAACTAAGCCAATTCTCCTCAACACTTTTCAGTCATTCATGAGCAAGGTCTTTCGCTGCTCAAAAGAGAAGGTCGTACTTCACCAATGACCTACTGGACCTTGATTTATTTTTGTAATGGAATTACAATTTAATCAGATTTATGATCCCCCATCTACTTACTCTTAGATTCTTAAACTTCTATAATGGGGAAAAAAAGGCACCTGGGATTAGACCATGTTTTAATTTACATAAATTAGGTGCTGAAATAGACATTTTTCAAGACAATTTATAGTAGTATAGGAAAGCACAGGTGTAATCAATAACATTAATGATGTCTATGTTAAGCCATGCCAATAATTAAGGCTATTAATAACACCTGTGCTCAGAAGGTCACCAAATGATGCTTTAAACGTTCACAATATGACTGAGGACTCAATTCCTCACTTCTTAACCTCCAATGGAAGCAGATGGGTGTGTTTTTATTGGGACGGGTAAGTGTTAATTCAACATCTACTTGCATCCAGTGATCCCCCCCCCCCCCTGCAGTGTTTTTTATGTATTCACGCTGTGGTTTGGATCAAATTTTCCGCATCTTGTTAGTAATGTAAATGATGCTTTTAATGGCCGCCGCTAATTACCTTAAACTATCGTCCTGTTACATTGTCTTTTCACCCGGCGCAGCCCCAGACTGATTCCACTGTTGTAATTACAGAAGGCAGTGATGCATTTAACCCTACGTTGTTTAAGACAGATTTATTATTGGCGGCATGGTCAGGTTTTAACAAAGGCGGCGGGAAATGTGAGCAAAGCCTTTAAATACTCTTTCATGGAAAAAACAAATGTTAATGTGAACACTTTACGTGCATTTGTTGCCCCTGTATGATTTTCTGCTGCGTTTTCTCCTCTGTCCCACATGTTTGGCGCTTATGATTTAGAGGGTCTGCTTCTATAACTCATATCTGCTGCAGGCGGGCGCTGCTATCAGCCTCAGTCTTTGGTGATGGAAGTTTATATTGACCCATAAATTAGCTCTACTGCTCTGCCACATCCAACAAAGCGCTCTCAAAAAAAGAGATAAACTCTGTTTCCCGTTAGCTGAAGATGTGAAAAGGAAAGACAGAGATTTTTTTGTTTGCAGCTTCAAACATCCCCCACACTGCATGGTAATTAAGTTTGTTTTCATCCAGTTTATATTCTTGTCGGATAAACCTTTTGGAAGCACAACCTAAGAACACTGCATTTAGTTTATCAGTACGACACACTATTATTCACCACAGCACAGCAAGGGGGCAAACTCAAATGAAAAGGTGTAAAATGATACGACTAAAGCTTGGTTGGTGTGCTTTTCATAATTGATTCCGCTTTAGAATAAACTGTTGCAATATAAGTCCCACAATTAACAAGCAATTATGTGTGACAGAAATTGTAATTCTTAGAAAAGAAACCTCAAGTTATAACCTCGTCGTGACTCTATTGTGCTTTAGTTTAAGAGCCTCGAGTTTCAAGTTAATTATATTGTTTCTTATCAGGTAACAAAGGACGGCGTGCACAGATTTGCTTTAAGATTAGCCTATTACTAAATGGTCAGTGACTCCTGGAGCTACATTTGGAAAGCCCGCTGGTACACAGCATTTATCAGATGCTGGAGCAAAGTGGGTGCGCTTAGATCTGATTCAAAGTCCTGCATCAATGTCAGGGAACACCAAACAAATAAGCATTTAATGAGAGAGCAAAGTCGTTAGCAGTGCAGCCACTGCTCTTTCTGACACACATGTAGTGTTTTCACAGGCAAAGTCATTCACAGTGGACATAAATCAAGACTCGACTACCACTGCCACATGTGACGCATTGCAGTAATCTGTTAACACTGAATCAGGGGTGTTGAACTGGTTATGAACAGCCACATTCAAAGACAGAATGAGGGAAAAGCCAGTTGCAGAAAATGAGAGTTGGGATGATTGTTTAAATATTGGGATAATGGGCCCCAGAGTTCAGGGGCAATCGGGATTGTGCAGCTTTTGTGCTAAACTTGCACGAATAAAGCAAAAAGACACACAGTGTCACAAATCACCTGCAAAGGGTGAAATGCATCCCAACTAACCTTCCAAGTGAACAACGCCACGGTGCTTCTTTGATAGTTGCTCATATTTTAATTAGATACGAATCTGATGTACATTTTGGACTAAAAAGATCCAATTCTCAAAGATCTGTAATGAGGACCACACTCTGTTGAAGTGAACTCATTAGTATCTTTAGAAAGTTGTGGTTACTATAGCTCATTTATAAGAGAAGACATACTTGTATTAACCCCCAGGGGAAATTCAGCTCTTTACTCTGTA